GTAGGAATAAGTACAATTCGGACATTTCATTCATGTAGATTGTAGATGAAAAGAATTTAACCCTGCGAAAGTCGTGGCTAATTTGAAAGATACGTATTCTTTTTTAATTATTTTTGAACAGACATATATGCAACGCTGGTCAACAAATTTACGTATGCTAAATTTCCGATGTTTGAAGTATTAACGATACTTGAACTGTTATATTTTTGTAACGAGGAATCTGAGCTCATCTCAGGGCAGCAACGAATCAACTAGTTTCCTAAAACGTGGAGATTCTGCTTGTCGTGGAAAAATTTTTCAATGTTTTGAGGGACATTTAAACTTACATTTCCGAGTAAGGACAATATTTTTACTTTCTCATTTGCTGCACGATATGAAACCGTTTCTGTGAAAAGTGAATCCAATATTGCGAAAGTAGAACCTTTATGCTTTAAAACTAGTTCATCGGTACGATTTTCTTCTTAGAAAATTGTAACAGTTTAAATATCGACAATTTTTCGAATATTAAAAATTTGGGCCACTTGAAGTTTTTTTTATGGCGCTGTATATTATGTATACTCTTGTGAGCACGATTTCTATATTTCGAAGGAGAATAGAAAGATATACGCGAAGGAAAGGGAAGAAACATCCCTACTAACCAACGCTAAATCTATTTTATCAAAAGTCAATCAAGGCATCTTCTCTTAAATGTAATAAACAATTAAACACTGACCTTAATTAATAATACGATCCTGGTGTTTTTATTTATTAGGCCACTGTTTATTTTGTTTTATTAGTTTATTCAACTGTTCATCTTTATATCGCATTTATGACAAATGTATATTTCATTGTTAAACCATAAGGAATATTTATATCCTGTTTAATTATACATATATATCTCATTTACCATCACAAATTGTATCTATTTTAATAAAACAAAACATTCTTCACGTGCCCGTATGATAATTTCAATTTAAAAAGGAACAAGAAACAAATATAGCACAGTAGATCGAAGTCGCTGTATCCCTCAGAAAAACCGCGAATTCTCCGCAGGGTTAAGAAATAAAAGATCAAACACACGCCTTCTTCACCTCGTTCTCGTAATTAAGTATTTTATTCATGCATCTAACGTACACGTTTTCATTGTCGGTTTTAGTTCACGCGTTTGCCGACGCTCCCGATGAGACTTGCTCGTCGCAGCCTCTGTAGAGCACCTCGCAGTCCTCGCCACGAATCCCAGCCTCTCCTGCATCCCGCACCAAACGGAACCATCCGGACGATTTCAGAGATTTCTCCACGCCTCGTCTGAAAGCACACGCGAAACAATCTCAACGAACTCCTCCCTTGTCCTCGTGGAAACGTCCACG